GAAAGAAGGGAAATCACTTAAACAAGTCGAGATAAATAAACAATTGACTAAGTTTAATTTAATTTTAATCAATACTGCCTTTTATAACTCTGGCCAAAAGATCTAATAAAGGAAATGGTTACATTAGGATGTTATTTTTATTTCAGTGGCCAATCTAGTAGAAAGAACACTGGATAGGCCGCCAGGGAAGTGAGTCGGAAGATCCATCCTAGTTCTGGTTCTGCTAACAGAACTAAGATCTGGAGCATGTCAATTCGCCTGTCTTCATTTTGCTTTAGCAGGAGTTTCTCCATATTCAAAATAGTGAGGGTGAATTACATGTTCTTTCTGCTCCAACTTTCTGGACTCCCACAGATACTGGTTAAACAACACAGGAGTGCTCATTATATAATGCAGGAAATGGAAATGACCACAGAACAGAAATAGTTTTAGTGATAAGGTGGCAGCTACCTAATTGGGAAAAGATTTCACCGGCACTGTTGCCCATGACATTCCAAAGGCATGGTAAATTGTTTCAGCATAACATAGTGGGGAAAAGGCCTGGTCAGAGTTATGTTAATGTAATATAATATGGGTATTTGATTCAGCATGATGCATAAGAAAGGTTTTGTCTGCATTCCCATGGCTTGCAGTTTCCTTAATAAATCTTAAACTGTTTTTGAAAAGCTACTTCTGCAATGACGTAAGCAGTGAGGCAGCCAGATATCACTTCTCAATCCCCTCTGAATATCTCTTGGCTGTGCAGCACTATTCACACTGGGTCTGCACTGGTCAAAAGAATGTAGGAGCTGGGTTTCCTTTGCTTTGATCTTTCCTTGTTTTAGCAGTAGGGTGGTCAAGAAAGAAACCTTGGAAAACTCTTGTAATCTTTAACTTTTTTGCTATTTCATAGGCTAGTTCCATGAACATACTGCCATCTAGGGCAGTCACATCCAATGTGCAAACAAAACATTCTAAGATGATCAACACCAATCCCCACTGAATTAGCAGTAAGTCTCAGATAAAGCTGACCTGGCTTACGGCCATCGATAAATAGTGGCATATACGATATTTTCTTTCCTTTTAATTTGTAAAGTAAGGAAAGGCACTTCATCTAATAAAATCAGCCCAACACACTAAACAAGCATCTTCTGTAAAAGTCCTCTCAAAAACTTTTTGACTAACTAACCCTGTTACTCTATATCTTATTAATCTTTGTATAGCAATTATCTACAATCTCTAGGTTTCCCATACATCAGTAAAATGATTTTTACACTTGGGTTTCTCTTATTGAGCACTAGTTGCTATAGACAACAATCTTGCCTTTAAAGCAGATACAGCACGAAGCTTCTTTTCTGCAATGTCTAAGAAACATCCTTAAACGTCATGAAAACAACTGTAAGCAAATTAACTCCCGGAAGGTTCAAATTCCTGGATGAAAGTAGAGATAAGTTCTGCCTGGCTAAATGTTTACTTTGAAGGGATTTGAAAACCTGACCTACCAATTTTGGTTTTATTTATTTTCAAAAGACAAGCTACTTTAATCAAATCCCAATAAATATTTTTAGCCAACAGTTATTTGTTTAAAAATTATTCCTGTCTCCTCTCCCATCATCTGAAAAACAGTAACAAGAGTGGCCAGATAAAAGGTGATGATGAAAAGACTGCTACACCTCTTTTGCCTAGTACCTGCAGGGGGGCAGATCGCTTAAAAGGGCCATCACTCTTGAGTCATTTCTAAATATATTAGTATGTACTTGGCTTTGAGGTACACCCGTTGGCTAGCTGTCAAAATGATAAGAAACTATCTTAACACTTTCAGAGGTTTTATGTCTTCCACCAAAGGCACATTAAAAACTTTCCCACATGGCCAGAACCTGTCAGATTTGAGTATTAGATAAAATAACTACCACAGCAGGACCACCTGGCACCCAGAACTAGAATCCATAATCATGAGCCTAATGGTTAATCATAGCAATGTAAACAGAAGAGTACACATGTTTGTAATTAATCAGGCTATGGTGTACAACTTTTCTGATAATCAAAAACTCATTGAGATAACTCCTTTCTATAAACAGAGCCATTCACAAATACCATGCTTTTTAAACTCTCCCAAGTAATTAACAATAACTTTCTTTACTATCATTTTCTTTCCCATTAGGTAAACACATGGAATGGTAGAGACTGTGGGTACAAGAGAAAGTGCAATAGAACAGGAGGCTTGCAGATTCTGCTGCTATCCAACCCAGTTAGTTGGTTGGAGGGAAAAGATTCAGATAAGAGGATTTCTAAGGTTCCTTTTACCCCCAGAGTTATTTTGTTCTACATGCTGAAAGAATAGCTAAGCTTGAATTGTCTTCTGATTCTTAATCCTAGTTCTATGCAATTGAATTTATATTAGATATCCCCTCATCAACTTATGAATTTGAATTTTCCCCACAATTTCCCCAACGCTTGCTCATTTCCATATGTGCCAGGTGTCTTTTTTTCTTTCATACTCAGGAGGACTCTGTTATTCTCCCTTCTGTCCAAGCCAGCCCTATCCATTCATGTACTGTACTCTTAACCGATAAGGCAGGGAGGGACAGAAAATCTCAAATGTTCTGTTTTGTACCTGGATTCAAAAGCAACATCTGCTATGTCTATGGAACCATCTGTTGCCCACTTTGCCATGGAAAGGACGGTGCAGGCATCAGAAGTGGAGTGTCACAGGTCATATAATGGAATTACCCCTTTCTGGGACTGGGGCACCCAGACATGTGCCCCACACTCTCTATGGCTAATGCCACCCCTCCCCCATCGAAGCATTTATTTATTTTCTCACAGGGAATGGTGCTTTGAAACTTTCACACAAGGTCAGGTCCAGTGTGTTTTGGTGTTTGTTCCCATTTGCCTGAATCTCTATTTAAAATTTTTTAACTCCTGGGTTGTACCTAGAACTTTGTCTGCCTGCCGTTAGCTCACTTGAGACCTTATGAGTCCTAAAGTTCTGAGTGTCTCAGTTTTTTACATCTATAAAAAGAAGGGGTAGAAATTAAGTGATCTCTGAGGCTCCCTTGTGCTCTAATGCTCGCAAATCCCATGACTTTAATCCAACTCAAAGTTGTCAATGAACACAAGTTCCTGGACCTCTATGGTATATTAAGACTCTAAATGGCAAGGGCAAAAGAATCTGCTACCTACAAAGCGGCTTCTGTGATAAGGGTCTCTTGTTTAACACAGTTAAACAAGTCTCTTGAGGATTCAAATTAGATTAAGATCCCTAATCTTGTCAACCTACTCCCCCAGGCAATACTCTAGTGCAGGGCTTGGGGCTGCATAATTGTTTTTGTGTCCCGTGCATGGCAGGATGCTGAACCGCATCCCAGGCCTCTATCCACTATATGGCAGTAGCACTCTACTCCTGTCAGTGGTTACCACCAAAAATACCTTGCCAATATCCCCTGGGGGCCAAAATCCCCTCTCCCATTGAGAACCACAGCTCCAATGTACGTCAGGACTTTAAGATAAAGCGCATCACTTCGGTGTTTTTGTTTCAAAAGAGTGACATTTACACAATCAACAATTAAGTACACCAAGACTTTACAGATAGATTTATAAGGCACAGGTACTCCACCTAGAAAATATACAAAGCCACTATCACTCTAAGCCATCCACAGCACCATAGCACTGCCTCCCTGCTAAGGGTTGAAAATTAGGATATAAAGTCATAACATTAACTGCTCTTTTAGAAACATTTAAAAGGAGACCAGGTGTGGTAGCTCATGCCTGTAATCCCAGCACTTTGGGAGGCCCAGGCAGGCGGATCACCTGAGGTCAAGAGTTTGAGACCAGCCTGACCAACATGGCAAAACCCTGTCACTACTAAAAATACAAAAATTAGCCAGGCGTGGTGGCAGGCGCCTGTAATCCCAGCTACTTGGGAGGCCGAGACAGGAAAATGGCTTGAACCAAGGAGGCAGAAGTTGCAGTGAGCCGAGGTAACTTCTCCAATGCACTCCAGAGTCAACCCTTGCTTACAGACCTCAAAACGGAGCTTTGAAGAAAATAGTGAAAACTAGAGGTTGGTTAATCACTTTGGCTTATTTTGTCCTCTCTTGCACACACACACAAACACACAGGGTAAATAAAATGTTTCTGGAAAGGCTGCTAACGAATTTCAGCTTGGTCACAGTTCTTGAAGATAGGAGTGAGCAAGCTCTTACTCCAATTTCCTAAGTATCTTTTCCTCCCCATTTCAAATAGGGATCCAGGCGACACCCATGGCAGTCGATCTCAACACCAAAAGAACAGCAGCTGCCAGCTGCATACAACAGATTGAGGCCTGCAAATTGACTGAAATGATGACTACTCTTAACCAGACATCTCATTTTTCCACTTGTGACAGGCTGAGATCTGCAAACCTCTGGGTCTCAAGAGGTGAAGGCTACATTAGCCAACTAAGAGCAAAAACTCAACTCTTCCTTGTCATTAAAGCATTTGCCAGTTATAAATGGTTTGGAGACTTTACAGAATTTAAGTACATGTAATGTTTAAATTTCCCTATTAAATGTAAGAGGCAAAGAAAATCCTTCTAAATAACTAAGCAGAGGATATGAAAAGGGAGCCAAGAATAGACACAACTGTTACTTTTCAAAGAACCTTCGCTCTTTATTCAAACAAATATTTACACAATTGAAGGCAACGGCAAGGGAGATATAGCCATTCAGTGAAAATAGTGGGCAACTCTAACGGTTTATTTATCCCAAATCCGACTGCTCTGTTGCTATCCTACCAGGAACCAAGAATTCAAGTGTTCACAGGGCAAAAGTTTAACCTTCTGAAACTGTGGACCTCATTTAGATCTCTCCCAGCCGAATTCAAACGTTAGAATCCCAGAGACATATCTCGAACGCCCAAATAAAACCAAACTAGGAAGCTTAAAATTACACGTCCAGAATTTGAAAATCTACATCTGTAACTTACACGTTCATATTACGAAGGGAAATGTGGCTGACAAATATTTACACTAAAAAGACTCCACATTTTTATGCCTCGTCTAGTTACACTCCCAGCTGTGCCTGGCTATGACTAGCTGCGCATTCTAGAGCTCTTTAGAACTACTTCAGAGTTGCAGGATAAAGATTTCTAGGGAAGAGGGCAGGGCCAGGCGCCCGGAGAATTTCCAGCCACGGGCTAGTTTACCAAGAGAAAGAGCTGCGGGCGTCTCTCCCTCTTTTACATAAGAAAGGTAAGTGAGGAACCGCGAAGCAGTTTGACTTCCCAAGCTCTTTCAAACAGGAAACCCCAACCCTGGGAGGGACAGCCGGTCAGCCTTTTAATTTCCTGGTGGTGGAGGGAGTTAGCCAGGTCCTCGGCGCTTTAATAAGTGATGACTGCTAGGGCTAAGTTATTAAACGTACCAGCAAACAATTCAGCTGCGCCTCCGCCGCGCAGGGCGCTGGAGAAACAGCGGGTTAAAATACTCCCCAAGCCTTCCAGCTGCTATCTCTAGGGGTGCCGAGACGGCCACACTATAAACTTTCAGGGGGGTCAAAGGCCAAATCGGAATCAGCCGCTCTTGGCTGTTAAACCTCGTGAGGTTCACTCCTGAAAGAAAGTGGAACTAGAAGCGCAGCCAGCCAAATATTTGAGGGGAGGGAGTCTTCTCTGAATCCCGCGCCCTACACCAACCAGCAGCGGACCTTCTCTGTCTCAGGGAGCTCTCCCAAGGATCCCCATCCCTCTCTCCATGTGCATTCCAGAGTTGTTGGAAAAAGTTGCCCCCAGTTCCCCCACATCCTGCCTGTTTCCTACAATCACTCTGGAAGCATCTCCCCTACCAGACAGACATTCCCTCCGCAGGATCCCCTCAACCCCCCGAGAGTCATGCACAACGGGGTTCGTCACCCCCCCACCACCACCACCAAGCTGCGCAGCCTGGGCACTGCCGACCCCAGCCTGGGCTTTTGTCCCTACAGCCTGTAAAGAAGCAAAGAAACTTTGCGCCCGCGGAGCCCACTCACCGTCTCATCTTTCCTCCAAACCGCCGCTCTACGCTGGCGCCGCCGCCCTAGCGCCTGGCCCTTGCCCCCGCCTACCCTGTCTCCGTCCGTGAGCCCGCCGGCCCCTCCTGACTCGCGGTGATCAGTCAGCGCGCCCCTCCTCGGCCCGGGCAGCCACTGCCTCCTCTCCGCCCCCAACCCTCCGCAGCGCAACCGGCGGCAACCAACTCGGGCGCGGGGGAGGCAGTGTCCCCGGGGCGCACTCCTGGCACACGGATTCGGCGCCACCCCCTCCTTCCGGGCGACCACCGCCGCCGCCTCACCTGGCCGTCGGTGTGGCCCGTTCCTGGCGGCGAGAGAAGGCAGGCTCGCTCGCTCCTTGCGCCACGCCACACCGTCGGGCCCCCCTCGGGCCGTAATGGTGGGCTCCGCGCGGCTGGGTCCGGCACCCCTGACCCCCTTTGTAACCACCGCGGCGGGCACCCAGGGAGTTCGAGCAACGAAGTTGGTGACCTACCCTGCTCCCAGGCAGTTTGCTGTTGGGGCTTTCACGGCTGCTGGAAGGGCCTGGCTTTTTGCCCCATCACTGGGCGCCAGCTTCTCAAAGCTACGTTCACAGCAACGCAGTAGGGACTTCTGTAGCAGGCTTTTTTTAAGAGCTGAAAGAAGGGCGGGAGGGTTTACGTCCTCGGGTGATGATTTCCTCAACCGACAGCGAAGTATCTATTGGGAAACTCCAGGTGACTGCACCTCCTTCTGACAATTCGCCCCGGGGCAAGTTTACCAGATGCGTCAGAAAGCAGGTTTGCAAAATCCTCAGAGAACAGCCTCAGCTAAGGACGGGGGTCAGGAGGGTTTTAAACTCATTCTGATTTCCTTGCAATCACATCTCTTGAAAGTTTTAGTATTTTCCCCAATATTTTTCTGAGTTGCTATAACCAATGAAAACAATGCTGATGTAGATGTTCACCAGCCAATGCTTTATTGGAAGTCAACGAATGAGACCGAGGGTGGCCCATAATCGATCTCGGCACGCGGAAATGTGAACCTCTTCCAAGGTCTGGGCGAGTCTCTAGAGTTACACAGATGAAGGACATTGGCCCTCGAGAATCCCACACCAGCAAAGAAGAGCACAACGAAGTGCAAATTACTTATGATCATTGTGGCTTTGGGCAAGTTGTTGTAGCTCCCAGCAACAATTTCTTCACCTAGAGTGCAGCAATAAACGATACTGATGCTGCTAATAAGCTTCTGAATAATATATGCAAAGTACCTGACACCATGAGCATAATAACTCAGTATACTGTCACTGAAGAAATAGCTTATTTAATGCACTTTTCATATGTGCAAGTAAAAGTTTGACTTTTAATTTTAGGGAGAGCCTTACCTACGGAATGCCTTTAAAAAAATTTTTTTTTAATTATACTTTAAGTTCTGGGATACATGTGCAGAACGTTCAGGTTTATTACATAGGTATACATGTGCCATGGTGGTTTGCACCCATCAGCCCTTCATCTAGGTTTTAAGCCCCACATGCATTAGGTATTTGTCCTAATGCTCTCCCTCCCCTTGTCCCCCATCCCCCAACAGGCCTCGGTGTGTGATGTTCCCCTCCCTGTGTCCATATGCTCTCATTGTTCAAATCCCACTTATGATGAGAACATGCAGTGTTTGGTTTTCTGTTCCTGTGTTAGTTTCCTGAGAATGATGGTTTCCAGCATCATCCATGTCCCTGCAAAGGACATGAACTCATTCTTTTTTATGGCTGCATGGTATTCCATGTTGTATATGTGCCACATTTTCTTTATCATTGATGGGTATTTCGGTTGGTTCCAAGTCTTTGCTATTGTGAACAGTGCTGCAATGAACATACGTTTGTATGTGCCTTAATAGTAGAATGATTTATAATTCTTTGGGTATATACCCAGTAATGGGATTGCTGGGTCAAATGGTATTTCTAGTTCTAGATCCCTGAGGAATCGCCACACTGTCTTCCACAATGATTGAACTAACTTACACTCCCACCAACAGTGTAAAAGTGTTCCCATTTCTCCACATCCTCTCCAGCATCTGTTGTTTCCTGACTTTTTAATGATCACATTCTAACTGGTGTGAGATGGTAACTCATTGTGGTTTTGATTTGCATTTCTCTAATGACCAGTGATGATGAGCATTTTTTCATATGTTTGTTAGGAATGTCTGGTTTTTCAGAGGAATTTTTTCCCCTGTCCTGAGTTTTTGCCCTGCAGAAGCATACATACACTGATCAATCCAACAGTTAAACAGTTAAGTGCTCCAGCATTGTTCTTTTCTCACCCACGTCATCTCTTTCCTCCTCTTTTTTGGATCATCCCCATGAACATAACATCATTTTATTTCCTTTACCCTGGAATTTTTTTCTTTTCTCTTTTTTTTTTTTTTTGAGACAGGGTCTCGCTTTGTCACCCAGGCGGGAGTGCAATGGCATGATCATAGCTCACTGCAACCTTAACCTCCTGGTCTCCAGTGATCCTCCCACTTCAGCCCCCATGAGGTGCAGACCACCATGCCCAGCTAATATTGAATGTTTTGCAGAGATGGGGTTTCACCACATTGCCCAGACTGTTCTTGAACTCCTGGGCTCAAGCGATCTGCCCACCTCTGCCTCCCTAAGTGTTGGGATGACAGGCGTGAGCCACTGTGCCCAGCCTCCTACTTCCCCTTTATCACTCACTTAGCCCTTGCCACAATGGCCTCCTAGACTAGATTCCTAGGTAAATACGTTCCATCTCAGGGCCTTTGTTGTAATTGCCCTCTCTGCCTAAAATTCCCTCCTCCCAAGTAGCTGCATGGTTCACTCCCTCACTTCCTTCAAGACACTCTTCAGTGTCACTGTGTTGCTCAGGCCTGCTCTGACCACTCTACTTAAAGTTTAAAATGTGTTTTCCATACTACTTAAATTTATTTTTTGACAAAGTCACCACATTCTATTACCTTGTAAAATGTACTTTTAAAATTATGTTTATTGTCTGTCTCTCCTCACTAGAATGTCAGGCAGGCAGGCAGAGAGCGTTGCCTGTTCTCTCCAGTGCTATATCCCTAGAGTGCCTAGAAGGATGCCGGACATGTAAATGGTGCTTAAGAATAAATGATGGCTTTGACCCAAAGCACTGTGTTGCAAACATTTCCTTGCCTCGAGCAATGCCAGAAATACACTTGACTACATAGACATCTTAGAGACAACTTTTCTCCCTTCAGAAGATCTAAGGAGAGTGCGCACCAACACAGCATATTTAGAATGGCCATAATTAGATTGCCAATATTTATGTCTAAGAAAAAAATAGCTAAATTTATGGAGAGCAACAATTACTATCATACACGTATCCGGTATTCTTCCAAATATAGGACAGTATTAGTTGATGCAACAACCCTATGACAGTTACTGTTACTACTCCCATTTTATAAGTGAAAAAAGGATCACAGAGAAGTCAATTGTCACTCAGGTAATAAGCTGGTAGAAGCAGAATTTGAGCACTCAATTCTTGAGTTCATTGTCTTTAATGCTACCTTCTACCTCTTTCCTAAGTATGAATGTTACTAGAGGACATGTCTGTATAATGAATAATTCCTAATTACTAGACAAAAAGTAATCCTCACTGGCCTCCCTTCACTGCCTTGTTTTATCTGCTGGCATCTCTGTCTCATTATAGCCAAGCTCCTAGAAGGCAAAGGGAGTCATTTTATTCATATTTGTATGAATCATACTCCAAGACTTATACATGGAAGGGACTCGAAAAGTATTCATTGAATGTGACTTTTTCAAGTGACCAAATCCAGCAAAGTTTCCCATTCCTGATGAGTTACAGTGGTTTTCAGTAGCTTTCATAAGGCCATAGCAGCCTGAAGATAGACGAGACCACCCTGAAGGTGCAAGTGTAAATTAGATAAATTCAGTCCAGGCTCAGTGGCTCACGCCTGTAATCCCAGCACCTCGGGAGCCAAGGTAGCAGGACCGCTTGAGACTAGAAGTTCCAGAGCAGCCTGGCCAACATGGCAAAACCCTGTCTCTACTAAAAATACAAAAATATTAGCCCCGCATGGTGGTGCACCATCTGTAGTCCCAGCTACTCGAGAGGCTGAGGTAGGAGAATCACCTGAGAATTCAAGGCTGCAGTGAGCCATGATCGCACCACTGCACTCCAGCCTGGGTGGCAGAGTGAGACCTTGTCTCAAAAATAAAAAAACAAACAAATAAACAAACAAAAAA